GATATAAATATACTAACCTACAACAAGATCTGGTAAACATATAATAGAACTAAGATATGTATAGGCAGGAGCGAGATCAGGCATTGTTTAATCTTCAGCAGTTGCGAACTAATACTCAAAATTAAGTAAACAGAATGTTAGACAATATAACAAGAAAGTGAACCTATATTGGTATATTACTACAGAAAAATTTGCCTTACAACTACTGTATCAGCAAAAGGTTCACCATCTACAACAATGCAGGAGGGATAGAGGTTTGCTAAAATACAATCGAGATAGATTAAATGAATGATATAAGAAGTAAAAAAATAAGATCTATACAGAGTGCCAGATATTTTAAATTTAAATCAACAAATTTTAGTGCTTTATAATAATTTACCAAATCAAATAAACATGGCTGATGCTAGACATTTACTAGTATTAAAATTAATGGCTTCTGCTCTTACAAATTTTTACTTTATATGGGACAAGAATCATCTGATGATTACTTAAATAAAGTTATTCAATCATGGGCATATCTTGAAGAGCATATGATGATTCTTAAGAATGCAAATACAGAAGATTTTGACAATGTGATCAAGTGTAATATTTTAAAATCTATAATGAGTGAAAAATCTGTTTCAGTATCAGCAAATAATAATCTTGTAGTAGGAAATCTAGCTATAAATTCTTCAGATACATTATGGGCTTGGATGAGAGCAAAATATCAGTAAGAAACTGTTAGAAATCAATAATTGACTATTTAAAGATTGATATAAGAAAGATATTAACTCTATAATACTCCTGATACTTATGATGCTAGATTAAACTATTATTATTAAGGGTGGCAGACAATGATGCGCAAGTTATAGGATTCCTTAAAATCTACTTAACAGGTGATTTTACACTTGGATAAGAATTGCCAATCCTGCAGACATTAATGCATTTTTTACAGAACTAAAAATATATAGTTAGAGTATGAACAAAATTTAAATAGAAGAATCCTAGAGGAATCAGATCAAATTGCCAATCAAGAGCAAGCCTTACCTAGTATAAATTCAGTATTCTATTCTTTATTATTAGTTGCCTCAACTTCTCAATAGCAAGAAACTTTCTTGGCAGATATGAAAAAAAGATTTCAAGATGTACTGATATAGCAAAAAACTGAATATCAGTCTTTATTAGAAAAACAAAAAACTGATTTTCAATTACAAATGGTTAAGCAAATGCAAGTACCTGCATCTCAAACTGTTAAATCAGTTAGACAGCTAAGAGGTCCACCATCTTCATTACAAATGGAAGAAGGTATAGAAAATTATCGTTTATCACAATACTTAAATAATTTAGGTATATTTAGTATAAAAGATTTAGAGAGAAATTATTCTATA